TGTGTACGAAAATTTCTGGGAGATACTCCAACATACCAAGTCACCTAGGGCTCGATAACACGGAAAGAGTCCCACCAGAGCTCAATCCTTTTGATACCGTAGGTATCTGGGAAGAGTGAATTTTCCCCTCAGAGGGAGTGTGAGCCGTATGGCTAAATCTGAATAATAATAATAATAATAATAATAAACTAGATAAAAAATAAATAACAAAAAAGTCACCGGCTTTAAGCTGGCTGTTTTAAGTCCGCATACATTTTTTTTTTGTTGACTTTTACTAGGGACTACCCCTGTATAGTAAAAAATGTAACCCTTTCCGATCAGTGGTCGTTATTGGAGGTTAGGCTGTAGTATTATTCGTATTTACAACTTTCCATTGAATGTAATGAAACTATACGTTATTTTATACTTTCATATTTTTTGATTTCTTTAAATATCATTCTGAGAAACTTCACAGAAACAGATATTAAACCCTTTAAAAAAAATAATTTTTTAACTAAAGAAACTACTGTTTTTCCATCGTAACAAAATAAGATAGGTCTATGTAGTAACTAAAACAATTTTGTTTTGAAAACCGGTTCCGACCTATTACTTCCATTTACTTTCATAATTTCCGTCACTCATATTTGTCTTAAAGGTAAACCTCGTTCAAAATAATCGAATTCAATTTCAGAAAAAGGTGGTTCATGAAAATAAATTAATTCGTCTCAAGTTTTGCACGCCATATGTAGTTGCAATGAGGAAATAGCTTTAAGAAGGCTAGAATTAAGACATTTACATCACGCTTATTAAGTGACTGTCATCACATTCTGATTTTCATAAATTATATTTTTTAAATTTTATTAAATTTAATGTCATTGAAAAGAATGTGTGGTTTAGAAGTAGTTTTGAATCATGTTCTTTTAACTTCTAATTCTTCTTTGGTGACATAAGAAATTGTATCCGTTGCAATTATCTTACTGCGTGATTTCTACAGTTCCGGCTAACAAGTCCCGAAAAACTGCCAAATGTCAAGTTCTCCATCGAAGTTCTTATTCTCAGAATTGTTCCATCATAACAAAATTCCATGAGTAAACATTTACTGTTCCGTGTGCTGAGCGACTCTTCCCGATTATACATTTAAACGTTTTAAAACTTAAAAATGTTCTGAAACTGAATCTGTTTATATGGGATTAAGCCCAAATTAATTGTAATAAAAATTATATTTTACAAATAGGTAAAGAAATACTAAATAAGACTTACTCACAATCAATTTAATTTAACTATCAGACGACCGGTTTCGCTTTCTACAATATGCAAAGCATCCTCAGGTCTCGATACAGTTACATGCCGGTACTAAGTAATGTTTATTTTATTTATTTATTTGCTCATTTATTAATGTATTACAATCGAAGAGACTATTTTATAACAATTTGTGGGCCTTACCTTGTCTGTTTAACCTTTTTAAAAATTTTTATACCTTTTATTCAACTTACTCATTTAAATAAAACCACAGACATGTAATATTGGCATAATTATTGTAATTTACAACACCTAATTTGTTTATCGTTATTAGACAACACCCTAATATGGGTTTTTATTATTTCAGCATTTGTTTAACTTTGTATCGAGACCTGAGGATGCTTTGCATATTGTAGAAAGCGAAACCGGTCGTCTGATAGTTAAATTAAATTGATTGTGAGTAAGTCTTATTTAGTATTTCTTTACCTATTTGAAATGGACTCACACAAGCAACACATTCATGATTTTTATATTTTACAATTGAAATATTATGTGTCCTCTGAGATCCACCGAGATCTACTCTGTTCAAAGCCAAACCAACAACAAACAAGAGAGATCAAAGAACTGCATCTTTAAAACACCCCTTGAATACAATATTTTTTATGTGGAAGAAACCGAAAGATCATTAAGGGTCCGGATAATCGAGCAAGAACCATACATTAAAAACAGAGACTTCGACAAATATAAATACTTCACAGATATGGACATATGCTAGAACCGTGCTGGTTCTAGCACCAACCGTTCCGGATGGTGACAAACGGAGACCCTGACAAAACGTGAGAATACACAAAGAAATGGATCACTGCAGCCATCAAAATACTAATCCCAAAGACAAAACAGTTAGGAAAAAACATTGGATGACTGAAGAGACTCAATCTTGTAGAAGAAAGACGAAAACTTTCTTCACACGAAAACGGAAACAACAAATCAAATTCAAAACAAAAAGAAATAGAGATATACGCCATAAATACAACTTGTGCAGAAGAGACAAAAATAATTATATTAAAAGAATATGTGTACAACTAGACGAAAATGCTGACCGACAAGAATCTGAGAACTTTTCTCAAAAGTCAAGTCTCTAGCGAGAGAATTCAAACCGCAGACACAGATCATCAAAGATAATAGTGAAAATACCATAACAAACCCAGACGGTATCGCAGATGTGTGGAAACAATATTGGCAAATACTATTCGTTAACAACGACCCAGACAATAATACAGAGAAAAGAAGTTATGAAAAAGAATCTCAAATATTGAAATCAGAAATTGAGGCGGCAATTAAAAAGCTAAAATTCGGAGAAGCAGAAGGAGAAGATAGAATAACAGCTGAAACACTCCAACACTACAATAACTGAATACCGGAAAATAACCAAATGACTGGGGTAAACTCACCTTTATTTCTATATATAAAAAAGGTTCTTCGACAGATTAGAGTAATTATCGTACAGTAGCATTGATATCACACGCGAGCAAAGTACTTCTAACCATCATCAATGAAAGACTTAAAATTAATTCTCTTACCACAAATTTTCCAAGAACAATGAAGATTCCTCCAATACAAGAGAACACATTTTTAATATTCGTCATTATCGAAAAATCTCGAGAGTTTAACATAGAAACATATTTATACTTTGTTGACTATTCAAGGCCTTCAGTACCGTAAAATGGGATAAAATCTGGCATATATAAATGGGTACGCTAGAACATCTAATTTATTTATTACAAAAACTATAATGCAAATAATACTGCTAATGTAAGAGTTAATAAAGAGGTTTCTAAAAACTTCAAATTCAAATCTTGAGTTCGACAGGGATGCATAATATCCCCTATTCTATTCAACATAGTGAACACATTATGCGTCAAGTTTTTGAGGTATGGCAAGTTAGAGCAACGATGGGAGGAAGAAAAATCAAAAACCTACGTTATGCTAATGACACTGTTATATTAGCGTCATCACCAAAAAAACTGGAACTAATTATGAATGGGCTAGGCACTGTGAGTACGGAGTATGGTTTGAAAATAAATATGCAGAAAACCAAAGTGATGATCATCGATAGAATCAGAAAAAACAAAGCAGAGATAAGAAACAATGCAGGTTTACGAAGTGGTCAGGCAGATTAATTACTTAGGCTCAGTTATTACTAACAATGAAGGATGTGAAGATGAGATCCGTCGACGCATCACAATGGTCAGATCGGCAACAGTCAAACTAACAAAAATTTGGAAGAACACTGACATCACAAAAAAAATTACGACTTGTTTAAGCATTGATATTTCCTATCGCCAGCTTTGCTTCAGAAACTTGGACAATAAAAAAAGCCGATTCAAAGCGTATAATGGCGTTTGAAATGTGGGTCTACCATAGAATGTTGCGCATATCATGGACCGCCCATCGCACAAATAACTCAATTCTAGCAGAACTTAACATAAAAACTAGACTCATCACAACTATCAATCAAAATATACTGAAATATTTAGGACATATAACTAGAAGAGAAGGCATGAAGCGAATGATAGTTGAAGGTAACGTAGAGAATAAAAGATCCAGAGGAAGATCTCCAGTATGATGGTCGGACCAAATAAAGGAGATGACTGGTTACTCATTCTCCAAAGCAAATCAACACGCACAGGAGAGAGATAATTGGACAGAAATAGTCGAACAAATTACATGATGCCACTACATCCTTAAGAACGAGAAAAAATAGAGGAGCATGCAAATATGCCTGGAACAATGAGCACAGAGTACAATGGAAAGATGCATCAATAGTCATTAAAGAAACAGGTACGAAAAAGAGGAAAATCAAAGAAAGAAACAGCTCCATCTCACTTAATGAAGAAAAATGTGTAGCAAACCTATCAGCAAAATGTAGCAAGCTCTGGATACCAAACAACTGCAAGAAGAACATACCAATATAAACGAATTAATAGAAAGTCGGGGACACCTCATCTATAATTCTACATAATAAACATACAACACACAATACATAAACATATAATACCTAAACACATAATGAATTTACCAACCAAAAGTATAGCTATATACCTACAAGATCGAGGCTGTCAATTTGCCAAAAGACTATTTGTTATAATAACACCTCACTATTTTAAAATTATCTTTTTTGAAAACGATTTCCTGAGTGGACATCGAAAAATCAAGTAACAGTTATAAAACGTAATTTTCATTACAATCAATTGTGACTTAATCCCAAATAAACATAATATTTAAGTGTAAAACTTCTAATTTCAATATATTGTGAACCTTAAATTTTCGTAGATTGATAAAAGCAGAACTGACTTTATTTATCGAGCCAATAAATTTTTGGGTTCTTGAGCAACACGACCTTTCGTGACTTAACATTTGCTACTTCAGTATTGTCGTCAAGGATTAAATTTAATGACTGTCGCCTTTGAGATATCTTTAATTTTATGGAATCAATTAAAGCTCCAAAACTTTTTAGTTGCTGTCAAAAACTTCACCTTGTCGTCATTACACCTAACGAGACAAAGTAAAAAAATAAAAATAAATCTTTTACATAATTCACTTCGTATGATAATAGTTGTAATAGCAGAAATATAGATTATGAACAAAAAAATGTATAACAGAGTTGTTAAGCTAAAATAAAGACTTGGAAATATTAAAACGAAAAATAGAAGCATTTTATAACAAAAAAAGTAAACATAAGCAAGCAAAAAAACCTCTTAAACAAATTAAACAGTCCATACCTGAGTTTTTAGTTGGTCTTTTAACCAGGTCAAGTAAAAATGAAGGTCAGAACGATCCATAAGTGTCTGCGACCAACATGCAATTTTAGCAATGATTCTAGAAGTCATGTTAGTAATAAATCCATCCTGGCGGTTAAGAAGGTTCAAGAATGGACCCCAAACAGATTCTTTCTTTTGGTTAGCATACTCGTGAAATATCTCTACACGACTTCTGTTCTCCTGAAAGAATTACGGAAAATGCTATAAAATATATTAAGTAAATAGTTTAATGCAATGTAAAACAATCATCTTCAATGTATTCATAACATTAATAGGATTGCGGACAAAACATCAAGTGAAACCAAGAAGTTTTTTAATGGCTTGACAAGGAGTAGGAATATTTTTTATCGTTTTTGTAATTATTTTTGAAAAATGAATTATTGTATCTTATCCATTCTTGGTTTTTCTTATATTACTTTTAAAAATAATTTCAAAATATCCTGTATTACAGAAAAAAATACTTTTGCAGAATTTAGTTGATGTTAGGCAATCCATTCGATGTATTAAATAGTTATTGCAGAGGTGTTTTATGTCGTCTTGTAATAAAAGCAGCTTTATTTTGACTTATACGCATGCGCAGTTAAGCGTTCTTTATTTTTCTCCTTTAATAAAATACAGGACTCCTGTATTTAAGTTAAATACAGGCTAGAGAACTTTTATTTAAAGATCCCTTATTTTGGCGTAAACTGTCAAATTACGAGTAGAAGTGAGAGACGTGTAACTTCACTTATACAGGGTGTCCAGAAACTCTCCTGACAAACGAAGACCAAAGATTTATTACATAATTTTAAGACAATTCAACCCAATTCTCTTCTAAATGCTTCCTAAGGGAGCTAGAGCTCTTTGAAGATGGCGCCTTGTAATTATTTTTTTTAATACCCCGAGAAAGCTTCTAGTTAGAAAAACAAAAACTGATACGATTATTTACCATCTAGAGCTGAATCGATTTCATTAATTGCGAATTTCGAATACCGGTCATAAGCGTCCGTTTTGGGTAGGTCAACGTTTATTTTAACGTATAAGTTTTTTGTCTTTAATTTTTAAACATTTTTTATACTAGATCATTAAATTCTCAGGTATTCTAGTACTAAAAGGTATTCTTACTTTAAGTGTACACCTACATTGGAACCGTATTTCTCCCGATCCGATATCTGGCGACGTCGGCCGACGTCGGATTAAAACCAAACTCAAGGTATTAAATCAGAGTGCCTATACTGCTTCGTCACGGAAACAGTATAGGCACTATGATTTAATACCTTGAGTTTGTTTTCAATCCGACGTCGGCCGACGTCGCCCGATATCGGATCGGGAGATATACGGTTCCAATGTAGGTGTACACTTAGTCGGTAAAATACACCGTTTTCTAGAAAAATCGATATGAAAATTTTTCGTTTTTTCGTCATGAAAGTTAAATTAATAGGTACCTTAATTAATTTTATAAATTCTCTTGTTTCAATAAATGCAGCATACACTTTGTAAAAATTGTTTGAGAAAACAAGCAAAAATCAAATTGAAACAAAATTTTATCTAAAAGGTTTTGAAAACAAAGTATTTATTACGATGGAACGAAACTAACACAGAAGAATAAGTATCAAAAGTAGATAGTAATAAAAGATGCACTATGTTCATGACCATTAGTCATGAATAAAATTGGAATGCCGAATTCTTGCAAAAATTTCAGTTATTTCTAAATTCGTTGCAAGCATCTTGTATCCTTGGCCAGAGTTGTGAACTATTTTGTATCGAAACGGAAAAAATAAATGCTTTTATGTATCCCCAAACACAATATTCGCAAGGATTAAAATCCTGCGACCTTGCTGGCCAAGCAACTGGATCCAATGGTTTTCCTCTTCCAATCCAATGGTCTTCATAGTTATTATCAAGAAAGTCTCGTACATTCCTGCCAAAGTGGGCCGGACAGCCGTCATGTGGAAACCATAAGTTTTGCCGAATATTTAAAGGTACTTTATCTAACGAATAATGTAAAAAAAATTGCAGGAAATGTAAGTAATCAGCACCATTTAAACGAGCAGGCAATTCCACAGGCCCAAGTAGATACTCGTTAACTACTCCTATCCAGACGTTAATGGTAAAATTGATGCTTAAATGCTTGAACAACGCGGGGATTGTTACCAACGTACGAATAAGATTGTGCATTATGCACATTAAAAGTTCCATTTTTTTGTGAATGTAGCTTTGCCGCAAAACAAAATGAATCTGAAAAAAATTTTCATTTCGATTTTTCTGATTTTGTAACTATCTAGTTTACTTTACCATTTAACCTAAATTTGTAAAATGAAAAGGATATCAATTTTCATTGTGTAAAATATTTCCTACGGAAGATTTTGAAATTGTGAGATCTGTAAATGTTGAGTGAGTGGGATCACGATTGGGAATTTTTTAGGGTATTTGGATGCCATAAAATAAAAAACTAAAGATAAACTTTGCTAACTAGAAAACTCTAGTTCCCTTGGGAAGCATTTTCATACTATGTGAATTGGGTTAAATTATTTTAAAATTATCTGTCTTAGTTTGTCAGGAAAGTTTCTAGACACCCTGTATATGGATATTTGATTAAATTTGCTGTATGATGTTCTTTATTTAGTGAGTATCGTTTTTAGTATTATTATTATTCTCGATTAGTAATTCCTCATTATTTGAGCCAACTAAGCTAGATATATCTAATTGTTCTTCCACATTGTAAGATTATGGATTATAGAATTCTTTAAATAACAAACAATTTAAATAAATTTAACGTTTTACTCTTATTTTATTTTAATTTTTAATCTAGGATTAGCTAGGTAACAAATAGACATTTATAGGTTATTTATATTATACAAAATTATTTAATGTCATTTGTCAAAATAAAAGATTTCATTAACATGTTAGCAATAACCATCGAGCAATAAGACGAAAGAGGGAATCTAATCCTTATGAAAAGGAGACCAAAAAAGTGGCCTCTGATGGTGAACATATCCGGAAATGCGAATACGCCAAATTTAAATTTTCCGACACTTATCAACAGTAGCTATATAATATTTTTCAGAATGTGTCTTAGACGAGAAAGTTTTAATTAATTATTAATGATAAGAGTCTAAAATGCGACACAATTGTAAAAAAACTTCAATATAAATAAGATTTCATGTGACATTTGGGACAAACAATATCATAACCCAACTAAATTTGATGTCAAACAAGGAGAGAGACTCTCTTTCCTTGTTTAATGTGGCCTCTAAAGATCGCACTTCCTGTCTAACAATATGTTTGCCCCCACTACCTTTACATTCCCTCTTTTGTCTTTTTGCTCGATGGCAATAACCCTCTTTTAAGGTCGATTCAGAAACATCAGTCCCGTCACAGTCTCGGCACCGAACCGGTCCTGTTTGGTCACAGAACTATTAATTATTTGACAGCTGGGAAACTGTTCGTCGCCTGATGAATGTGAATGCTGGCGGTATATTTCTATTAAAGAATATATGACGGATTGTTCGGTTCGGCGCCAGGACTGTGACGAGACGTGATTGATGTGCCTGAATCGACCTTTAGACATGAAGTATTTTGTACTGTATTAAAGGATCCTGTAATAAAGGCGACTGTCATCTAATGGTTTCAATAACACTCTATTGGTTATCACTGGTACATTAACAAATATGTATATGCCAATTTTAAGGTCATTCCTCGCTATTCTGGGCATAGCTAAATTTGAATGTAAAAGTTTAAATAAAATAACACAAAAACTATGGCAGATATTGAGATAAATATTTTTTTATTATAGGTCTTAAAAATTCTAGTGCACTAACTCTTTATAAATTAATAAATTGTTTAAAAGATTTTTTTTTGTTTAAAATTAATTTTGTTAAAAAAATTTAAAAAGTTGCGTCACTATTGGATTTTTCCCACTTTCCGAATCTGTTTTTTACTTTTAACATAAAGGAGCTATTTTGTTTAAGTTTTTTTTTAAGAAAACCTCGAAACTCTGCTAATAGTTGTTTCTCTCGTTCAATGCAGGCTGTCCTTGTTGTCGATGTCAAGCTACCATGTATATACCCTACACTCTCTCGGTAGGGTCATAAATAATGTTGAAACGAAGAGAGAAAATAATAATTTAGTGCTTATTAAAAGGACAAAGTTTATTCAGATTCAGACTATTGACAAACCAGAGAGTTCATAGTTTTTACAATGGGTAGTTCATGAAGACGTTTATGTGCCCCACGAAAAAGTCAACGACAATTGGCGATATTTTATGCAGACCAGTGGTAACTACCTTATCTAATTTTATTTTTTGTTTGGATAGAAATATTTTCTGTTAATTTGTGGCATTTTCTTTCTAAATTTTTATAACTTTTTTATAACAATACTATTGTTTTATCTTTACTACTATTTACATACAGACTATGTGTCTGTATTTTCGGCCACTTCGGGTGTGGCTTGTATTATAGAAAAAAGGACTGATAAGATATTGTACTGAGGAATAAAAAATAAGTATTGTTGTGTGTGTGTGTGCGTCAAAAAAATACAATTACTCAACACGTATGTTACAAAAATTATAAAGGTACTTCGACTGCACAATTGTGAAAGTGTGAAAAGCACAATTGTTGTAGAAGGCTTTTACCAGAGAATGCAAATGCAAGCCAAGCAGTACGGCAACAACTTTTTTATTGAGAAAATCGAGTGATAGAGAAAAGACATCTGATATATTAAGAGAACAATCATCAAAAAATACAGTCCTGTGGTAAAACCTATTCCTTTGCAATTAAGATCTGTACTAAAAGATAATGTACAACGCTTACGAACGGCAAGTCAAATATCACCGCGAAAACAATTCCGGCGACAACATAAAAGTACTTGGTTTAAAACAAGATATTGAAAAGGCGATCTCAAAAATTGTGCCACTTATTTTTGTAAAAAACAAAATTTAGACCAGGAAATTAATTATATTCCTGAAATGCAAGAGTGTGGTTTGTTGTCCGATATTACATCATTCAGCAATAGGCTTAAATGTCATGCAACAAGTTTGATAAAAAAGCGCCACCAACAATAACGCAGAAAGCTTCAATTCTGTTATTGTAAAATTTGTTAGAGGTAAACGTGTAAATCACACCAAGAGGGGTGGCTATTGGATGTTTATTATATTAGGTGGCTATTAAGGTGTTTGAAAGCAGCAATATCATATAATTCAC